ACACACACACACACACACACACACACACACACACAACGCACCCTCTGAATATATATATACTTTCCTACATTTGTTTTTCGTCTCACAATCTTAAACAAATCTCACTATCGTGATCTTTACCAAAAGTCTCGGACTCTTCGTTATGAGAGGATCATGAACTGATTGGTTTATTTTTTTCCCTTCCTTTTCTTTTTAAAATCTTATTTTTCCATATCTGTAACATTTAAACAACATTTCTTTCTCTCACATAATTTTAAAAAAGATTATTTGTAAAATTCTGGAATTCCGAGAACCAGTGCTCTATGTCTTTCTTTGGACTTTACACATTTTAACGCGTCGTTCGCAATGTTCAGTGGTGGCCAAAACACACGGATCCACCCAACCATGAGAACTCAAAGCCACACACACTGTACACCTTACAATAAGGCGTTGTTTCAAGAGAGAGTAGAAGGTAGGGTGAGGTTGCCCAAATAGACAGCATTCGTGGAGTTAACATTATACTGAAAGGTGAATGTGGGCTTTGCCAAGGAACCAAATGTCATTGAGGAAATGTTCACGCTTTTCAATACAATGGAGGAATCATGAACACGTTGCTATCCTCTGATCCATGTATGTCAGCTTCGCGAACAAGAAAAAGGTACAGTCGTAGATGAAGATCTGCCTTGGAAATGCAAACCGTTGAGATGTAGGAAAGTCCTAGCTGAAGATATTGTCTACAGACAGACGCCTCATGGAGCTCATGTACTGAATGCTGCCCCCTGGTGACGTTTAAAGGGGTGTAAACGGTGGGTGTTTGACCTGAATGGTAATTTTGTCAGAGAATTTTTAATTCTGATTCTCTACAGGTCCTAACAGATGGACCATTTTCACCCTTGACATCAAAAGAGGATTTAAAGACACTTTTTAAACATTATTTCCGCAAAACTTCTGCGAAACTTACGAAATGAGTTGGTGGTGAGGAAATGTTTAGTGCAAAAAGCTCTCTGCTCTTTACTAATCTTAACCATGATCTCAACAAGCAAAAGAAACTTGAGGAAAAACTATCTTCAAACTTCTGTTGGCCTGTTAGACTAGACTACAGTAGCTTGCAGTATGCCCCTGTCAGCCCTGTAGTTGGGACTTTTAGTGGTAGGCCTAATGCGAATTAATGCGTCATGCTACAAAAATGGGGACATAGCTGAAAATTGGATGTGGTTTTTTTTAACGCCCTAGGTAGAAAAAAGTATTGTGTGGGTTTATTTAAAATAAATATCAGACAAATTCCTTTTGACTCCAAAATGTTGGGTTCAAATTCGAAGCACAAAAGTTCGGCGTTGAGGAAAATATTTACAAAGAAAGGTTGTTGTTTTTTAAAATCACCCTGAACATGTTATAGGTCTATGCTTTTGCGCTTGGTGTCAGCCATTATCCGAAAGCTAACCTTTAAATTTTAAATGCAGAGACACTTTCGGCAGGGTAGAAACCGAGTCTTTAGTTTAGTCAAAATGATAATAATTAAAATCAGTCTTTTGTTTATTTCCACTAAGCTAATGTCGATAGAAACCAATTTCTTTTTTGAACAAGAAAAGCTAAGTGAGGTAACCGTGATATTCAAAAGGTTACAAGAAACTTACATGATTGTGTCCCTTTATAAATCTCTTTGTACATTCAACACAGAACTTGACAATTCGTGTGGGCGATGTACATACCTCTCTCTCTGTCTCTTTCTCCCTCTCTTCCCCTCCCTACCTCTCTCTTTATGTGTATGCATCCCTCTTTCTGTTTTATCTCTCCCCCATCTGTCTCTCTGATCTCTCTCTCTTTGACAGGACAGGTGTGCGCGATGGAAGAAGAAGAAGAAGAAGAAGAAGAAGAAGAAGAAGAAGAAGAAGAAGAAGAAGAAGAAGAAGAAGAAGAGAAAGAGACAAAAA